GATTCTGTTATGTCCCATATGCTTACTATTTTACTGTAAGGTTTGGGTTTTTTTCGGGAATTGCATTGCATTGGGAAAAGATTTGTGCTATCTCATCCTTTTCTTTACTCTTCTCTCTTTCTGTCCACTACATGAAATGCGCCGCCCACAAAGAAGATTCACAGTGAACAACAAAAGAAGAGAAATTATTGAATGCATAAATCACGGGGTGGTGTCAGAGACTGAAACGGTTCATGATTTATGCATTCTAGGATTGCCAAGGGACTCTTGCAGGCTTCTACAGGACTTTTGCATTATACCTCTGATGGCCCATCAAAGCCCATCCCCCCCTCTGCCAATCCTGAAAGGCAGGAAAATCCCTTTTCCCAGGCCCCTCACGGGAACTCTGCACAGGCCCAGGAGATGTTGGGGGTTCGTGGCATGGCCCGGGACACCATCCATGGATATAATAACTCATAACTTCTTGGAGTGTGGGGGCTTCCCTCCCCCACCCCCAACAGATCAAGGCCACCACTTCAACTCACAGACATGGAAGCTGCAACTCCCAAATTCCATCGCTGGACCCCGTGGGCAGTGACTATAGACATCTTTCCACTCTCAGCTTTGCTTTCCCTTACTTTCCCTCTCCTTTATCCTGTCTTTCCTTTCTCTCCCTTATGCATTTTTCCTAAAGGTTCTCTTTATGCCACAATGCTGTAGATGAGAGATAGAGATGATAACACCCAAAATGGCAACATACCTGTTTACCTTTGAAACAAAATTGTTCTGAAATAAACTCTACATATATATGTTTTCAAACACCGATTATTCAGTGTTGTTTCACTCTAATCCACCCCAAGGGATTTATTAATAAGAACCTGGGTTACCCCCAACCCAGGTCTGATAACAGACCCCTTGTAGCAGGATGTTCTACCTGGAAAAGAATCTGATGGGACAATGCAAGCAATGCAAGCTCTCTGTGGGGAGTTACTGCTGGTGCCAAGGGGTTGGTTTAGTGTTGAATTGTGCCAAACCCAGCCTGGTTCCCCAACCTTCCAACACGCATCCTGCTTTTGGAAGCAGAGTTTGACAGATCAGCTGCTCACTGGCCTGGCAATATGTGACTGGCCATCCATCACTGAATAAGTATAAAAGCCCAGGGCCAACTTTCATAGAGCAGATTCTTCCACAGACTTTGTTGAAGTGTGTGGAGCTCCTGCTGTGAAGCAGGGACGCCTCTTGGTGGTCACTGCCCAGGGGGTAAAAGAGAGATTTGCCCTGATTTATTTCTACCAGACACCGCCGGGCCCTTCCCGCTTCCTGCCCAGTCCCGGTTATTGGGGGGCAGTGGAGGAGGGGCTTGGGGGAATCCCAAGGGGTGGGGCTGAGTTTGGGGGGGGCAGAACCAGCCTGAGATGGATCGAGAATGGGGAACCCCCTGTGTCCCCCCATGTCAATCCGCTCTGGGGGGGCTTTGGGAGGGCACCTGCCCCTCAATAAAGCACCCAGCTCACACCAAAAGGTGCTGGGACCCCCCAAAACACACTCAAAGCCCACCCAGGACCCCACCTAACCCAAATTACTGTGGGGTGCTGGGGACTGCTGGATCCAATCTCAGCCTTGGATTATGACAACAGTTGCAGTTTAGAAGAATTACAGAGGTGTGACTGAAACACTTTTGTCCCCCAGCTTTTAATGATGGCAAATCAGATCTATTGATAGAAATGAATTTATTTAGGGTTCCAAATGATCAGACAAAAGATCTTCATCACAATTATTTACTGCACAACAGAAACACTAAAACTACCAGGAGTACAGGATAAGATGGGACAGTGCTCTACACTAAAGCAATTGTTGAAGCAATTCTACTCAAGCTGGCACAAAAGCAATAATTCTTAATTAGAGATGGATGGAACTCCCCCAGACCAACGCCTGTGGGGAGATCTCTGCTCTCAACCTCCAGCAGTGACCTTGGGGGGTCCCCAGCCAAGGCAGGAATCTCCACACACACCCCAAGAAGGGTTCTGTTGGCAGAACCTGCCCCTGGGAAAGGGGACTGGCCCTTTGTGGTCAAAAGGGATGGACTGACAGTCACTGGACTCCAGGGGTTGCCTCACCATCAGGGGCTTCATTCGGGGTGGAAGCAGCAGCCAAAGCTCTTCCCGCAGTCGGGGCACTGGTAGGGCTTCTCTTACCGGTGGGTCCGTTGGTGTGAGGTCAAGGTAGAGCTCTGGGTGAAGCTCTTCCCACACTCCCCACACTTGTAGGGCCTCTTCCTGGTGTGGATGCGCCGGTGGGTGACGAGGGTGGAGTTCTGGTTGAAGCTCTTCCCGCAGTCAGTGCAGCGGAAGGGCCTCTCATCTGTGTGTGTCCGCTCATGCCTGAGAAGATCTGAGCTGGTCTGAAACCTCTTCCCACATTCCAAGCACTTGTAGGGCCGTTCCCCGGTGTGGAAGTGCTGGTGGGTGCGGAGGTGGGAGCTCATCCTGAAGCTTTTCCCACACTCCCCACACTTGTAGGGCCTCTCCCCGGTGTGGATGAGCCGGTGGGCGACAAGGTGGGAGTTCTGCTTGAAGCCCTTCCCACAGTCGGTGCAGCGGAAGGGCCTCTCATCTGTGTGCGTCCGCTGGTGCAGGAGGAGATTCCCACTGGTTCTAAACCTCTTCCCACAATCCAAGCACTTGTAGGGCCGCTCCCCAGTGTGGATGCCCTGGTGTCTCCGGAGGCTGGACCTCTCGATGAAACTCTTCCCACATTCCCTACATGTGTGGGGCCGTTTTCCACTGTGGATGTGCTGATGTCGGATCAGGTGGGAGTTGCCACTGAAGCTCTTCCCACATTCTCCACACGTGTAGGGACGTTCCCCAGTGTGGATGTGCTGGTGGATGAGGAGGTTGGTGCTCTTCCTGAAGCTCTTCCCACATTCCAAGCACCTGAAGGGCTTCTGCCTGCTGGGAGGATGCTCAGGGACCACCAGCTCAGAGCTCTGGCCGCCTTCCCGGCACAGGCTGGGTCTTTCCTCCTCAGAGCACCCTGGGCTGGCTTTGAAGCCCCTCCTGCAGGGGGATCTCTGGGCCTTTTCCTCCCCGCTGCCTTCCTGCGCCGTGGAGCCCTTCAAAACGGCCTCTCCCACCAGCTTCTCACAGGGGGATTTGTCCTCCGGGCTCTCCGTCCTCAGCTCGGGGCCTGGGGCAGGAAGCAAGAAGGACAGGGAGGGGATTTGCCTCCGGCCCACAGGGAAGGCCAAGGACATCCCCCCAACTCCGGCCCCGGCAGGACGGCGGCGGCAGCGGGGTTGTCCTGCAGCCGGGGGCCATGCTCGGCTGCCAGAGCCAGCACAACACCCGCCCAAAGGGACACTGACTTTCTCCTCACCTGCCTGGGGGGCCAAAGGCATCTTCCTCTTCCTCACAGCCTCCTCCTCCATCCGCCCAAGCTTTGGGAAGGACAAATCCTGATGGGAGGGAAAACAAGGGTATCCTGTTACCATAAAAACCTCCAAAAAACCAAGATTCAGCCCAGAAAAACCCAAACGACCCAGATTCAGGAAAAAATTCCTCAGAAATAGAAAGAAGACACCCACCCTCCCGAAGTGCAAATATTTGAAATTCAACTAAAAAATATTCCAAAATATGAAGATTAGCCCAAAAAATCCGTCCCAGAAGTTCTCCCTCTCCGGTCTCTCTCCTCTGGAGTTCAGAGGGTCTCCCCTCTCTGGGATGCTGGAGGTCCCACTTAGGGATGCTGGGAGTGTTGGGGATCCCAAGGGTCCCTTCTCCTCTGATGCAGCCTTTGAGGTGCTGCGTTCCCAGACATTCCCCCTCTCGAGATTCTCCACGTCATTGTCCCGGGGATCCCAGGGGTCCCCACCGTCCAGGATTCCCCTTCTCTGCACCCCCCATTTCAGGCTCCCGGGGGTCCCAGGGCTCCTCCCACTCTGTGCTCCCCCCTCCAGGCTGCCGGGGGGTCCCCCAGCTCTGGCATCGCCCCACTCTGCCCTCCACACTCGGCAGCTCCCGGGCTCCACACCCACCCCCGGCACTCCCAGAGTGGCCCCAAAACCGCTGTGTCCCCCCTGCCGGCACCGGGCTGACAATGGAGCCGGCGGGGCTGACAATGGGTCCCCCCCAGCAACACCAACCCCCACCGCGGGGGGGACCCACATCCCCCCACCCACTGCCGGGGCTCTGCCGCCAACCCAGCCCGGCACCCCCAGAAAACACCTCCCACCCACCCCCAACAGCCCCCAAGGGCAGAGGAGGAACAGGAACAGCAGGAGAACAATCACCCCCCCATCCCATAGGTGCCCGGAAAGGGGGAATTCGCCCCAAATATCCTGGGGGGAGCGTGGGGGGTCAGGACACACTCGGGCTGCCAGCACAGATTTCCCTGCAAAGGCTGCAGTGAGTCAAGCTCTGGAGAGGAGATTGTGCCCCATGCATGGGATTGCAGAGGCTCCCTCAGGTTCCCAGCAGGAATCAGCAACCAGCAATATACACAAAAGGCCCCCCCAAAGATTTCTGGGGGAGTGTCCTGTAGGGAGGGGACAGTGTCACCCCACCAGAGCAGGGCTGGCAAGTGGGAGGCTGCTCCAGGGCTCTGCAAGAGGCCTCGTGCTCTGCTCGGCCCCAGCACTGGCTGCTACCAACACCCCCGGCTGCCCCCGGCCCTGGGCAGCTCTGCTGCCACAGGCTGTGCCCTCACCGTGGCCCTGCAATGGCCCTGCCTGTCCCTCACCCCTGGCCCTGCCCGTGGCCCTGTCCCTTGGCTCTTTCTCTGCCAGCTGAGTGTGGGGCACACGGGCTGGGGGTCCCTCCCAAGCC